GAATGGAGATGTACACTTACTCCTCAGGCGGCCTCGAGTCCTTCAGCATTGGTCTATGGCTGCATCACTGGTTTCTCTTGTTCTGAGAATTCCTGCTTCCATGAATGAGCACCTACTAGGTTCACTGGTTTTCTAGGCTATAGAAAGCCCCAGTAGTACTATTCAGTTTATGATTTTGTAAGCCAGTTTAATAAATCTAAATGTGTGTGTGCATACTCATGTTAATTGTGTTCTCTGAAGGACCCTAATAGATTGGTGGTATGAGGAATTTAGGATATTCAACTCCTATGCCAATCCTCACTGATTTTCCAATTCTCCCACTCAAGTCTGTTACTGGCCTTGGTGATTATAATTTGCATCATTATTTCGTTTTGAGAGACACAGATCAAAGTAACTGACCATGGTGAGAACTGATGACTGCAATGGTGAAAGAGAATCAAGAACTGAAATTCAAGAAACAAGAAGGGATATAGTATCAATTTGAAAAGGAAACAATACTAAATTTTATGGTGGTTCATTTAAATGGATAATGTATTGAGGAAACTGAACACAGTGAGGCAAATTACATGATTTCCAGGGAGAATGGTTTGTAAGCAATTCACTCAAGTGATGTTCACACTGAAAAGAACCCAGGGCACACCGCAGTGACAGCAGCAATGTTCTTATAAACTATTATTACATTACTGAAATGTTAATCACATTTGGCTATCACATCACTAGGGAGAACAAGGACAATGCAAGTGACAAATGGCATTGCTAAATGAGTATTTGTCACTGGGTTAATCCTAGTAACTAACAAGTACTTTTGATCCCATCTGTATAATACAGTAGCTAAGGGAATGATACTGATGAAATTCTTTCCTAGTATCTACACACCCCCTGGTGGAGAAAATAAGTAACCACATACCCATAATGCTTTACTATCAGCAGTGCCTGAACAAGGGCCTAGAATAAGACCCTTGGTCCTAAGGACTCATTGCCAGATGATATTGAAAACTGTGACCATTGCTTCACTCATTGTTGCCTCAGGCAACTCCTCTCCTACACATATTGGCAGTAGACATGCAGTTTTTGTCTCATGTCTTGTGCTGTCATTTTGTGAAAGTGAAACACAGTAAACACTTTTAAAAATGTGGGGATGATGCGTGTATGGTACGTGCATGTGTGTGCTGCCATGCTAGAATGTGGAGATCAGAGGACAAACTCAATGTTGGTCCCATCTTACTTGAGACTGGTTCTCTGTGCTGTTCATGGCTATGTAGCCCAGGCTAGCTGGCCCATGAGTTTCAGGAATCCTCCATCTTGGCCCTCCAAACTTGTCAGAGGAGTTGCAAGATGAGACACAAGAGACCTTGCCCAGCTTTAGGTGGGTTTTAGAGATTTGAACTTACAGTTGCATGGCAAGCACTTGACCAACTGAGCTACTTTTACCACCTAAGTTTTCTTTTCAACTCCTCAACCACACCTTTTTTTAATATAAAAAATTGCTAAGTTGGAAAAAAACAAAATAAACATTGAGGAAAAATATAACAAAAATTTGAAATGCACTAGAATAGCACACATGAATTAACAGAACCAAATTACAGTGAATCTAGCAGTTATCGTATTTGCTCAAACAGTAATATAACAAAATAAAAGTTTGGCATTTCTATTAGGTACACTGTAGACTAGTACTAAGAAATGAAAGCTAAGCGTGGTAGCACACACCTGTAATGCCAGTATTCTAGAGGCAGAGGGGGGAGGACTTCAAATTCAAGATCAGCTTGAGCCACACAGTGAGTTCAAGGCTGGACTGGGCTACATTATCACCTACAAAAAGAGGTGGAGGCTCTGAGCACAAGGCACGGCACTTTGGCATGCAAAGAACCTCAGAGGAAGCTGCAAGGTCCAAGAAGCAGGCTCAAGCTAAGTCTCTGGTTCCTGATTCACCTTCCTCCTTCCAGATCTGGTTCCAGAGGGGTGCTGGCTTACACAAGGAGAGCCACCTGAACCCCTAGGCCTTGCTGAACTTCCTGCTTCTGCGATGACCATTTGTCCAGTCCTGTTAGCACATCTGTCCATTCCTCATGGAACCTAAGCATAAAGACCCGTGGGAGGCTGGGTCTTCTTCGTATTTACAAAGTCCTGTCATAGAAAACTTCCAGGAAACATGCTCTGTCTTTTGCTTTAGGAGTCAGCTGTGAGTCTTGTGTTGGGGATAACTCATCTTTCCATCTCCAGTTACCCTAAATTGTAGAGCAATGGACAAACCACACCCAGGATAGGGTAACTGCTGACACCCACTTAGTGTTTCTAAAAGTCATTTAGCTTTTCTCCCATGAAAATCTTAGGGATATTTATTTACCTTACCTTTCAGGGTGCTCAGAAAGGCTATATGAAATAATGTATGGAGAAAGGATTTTAAGTTACTATTATTTGAAGATACATCTCCATTTAAAAATTAGATGCACTTGGTGCTTTTAGCATACACCAGTTTGCATAATTGAGCTATTCAGAATATACTTACTGGTAATCTTTAGAGATTCACTCATCTAACACATATTTGTCAGTTGGACTGGCTCCAACGTGAGCCTAATTTTATATGTGGAACTGTTGTTGACAGAGGGCATGCCTGTCACACAGCTTTGTAACCCTCAGTGAGTGGCTTATTAGAGCCAACTATGCCATCTTGTCCCTGCTGTTGGCACAGCTCTGCCCACATCTGGCTCCTCTCCTTACACATCTTAGGATGAAGAACTTACCGTTCTAAGCAAAGTTTCCAGGAACCTAAAGGCCCAGGGAAGCCATATTTAGAAGTATAGGAAGGGCTTGTGATAGAGCTCGGTGACAGCACATGCCCAGCATGCACCAGGTGACTGACTGCACATGATCAGCATGTGCCAGGTTAGGGTTTAATTCCCAGTTCTGAAAACAGAGAACAGGGCACCCCAAAATGCTTTCAATAGGCAGAAGAAAGAATGAGTGGAAGTGAAAATTTCTAAGTTGGAGATTTGGAGTTATATGATCAAAACAAAACACCCCAACTTACACATCAATGGGGGTTGGATGTTCAGGCATGTACAGAGTAAAGGCAGGCATCTAATATTATTTGCAGTATAAAGAATGAACATACTTACTTCTCCATATATTTAAGTCATTAAGTAAAACTTAGCTTTGAAGAATCATTCATAAAAGTGAAGTTGAGACTTACTTGCACACATGAAATAAAAATGCAAAAACTAATCAACTTTTAGGAATGTAAACATCTCTTATCATTTTTACTAACAGAGTAAGATGGGCTCTCTTAATTCAAACATTAATTTAAGAGGAGCAAAAAAATAATTTGTGACTGGTCTGGTGGTCCCCTGCAACTGAGTGCAAGTCCAGTGATCTCAGAGCAAGCACTCACCGAGTAGGTACAGGTCCTACCTGGAACTGCATGAGCACAAAGCCATTTTCATTATACCAAAACCAGATTAAAACACAAATAAAAACAAAAAGGGATCCAGATACCTGTGGCTATAGCTGTGTTAAAACTGATTTATTTCAAGTACTGTAGAGCAAATACTTCTTGCAATTAGGAGCTATAGTGCTTGTTTTTTATCAAATATACTTAAAATGCATGTCTATAAATAAAAAGGAATCTATGGAGATTATTATCTACATTGGGATATCAAAGCAGACTTTCACCACATCATCTTTCTCAAAATAATTTCAAGAACACCGAATCCATGCATGTTTGCAGACTTCTTTATCTGGTTATAAAGGTTATTTGGAAATCAGTTAACTCCAGGTCATTTCTGCTGCCTCTGCTTGCGTGGGAGATTGCACAATAGTGTTAACTCAGAGAACAAAAACAATATATAATGAAAGTGAGAAGTTTATAAGTGCAGCCAATTAAGAGTGGAGTCAAAGTCAACAGCTCCTCAAGCTGGATTATCTAAGAGGTCTGAGTGCCATATGATAAGCCTTTACTATCAGCTAATTTTCTGCAGCTTTTTAATTTAAATCATTATTAAATATATTTTAATGCACACTCAATTTACTATGCTTGAATTTTCTTAACTCCTCTTTCATATTTCAGGGTAATCAATAGTTATGTGAAATTAATAAAGTGAATAGATACTACCTTAGCACTGAGGTCTGTATAAAGATATAAACTTAAGTATCAGACTATATGACAGTGACTAGTGCCCCTTTGGTGGCTTTTGAGTAAACAAACACAAGCCATTAAACAGGTTGAGGACTTTCCACTGGATCTGGCTGCAGAGAGCAGAACTTAGTTTATGAACAGAAGGTTTTAATTAACCGACCACCAGGGAGAACAAAGACAAAGAAGTACAGATAGAAACAATCGATAGGAACCTCACAAGTAGCACACTCTCTTATCCTTGAAGGGGAATGTATTGTACAGACCATTTCCCTCTGTTCTTAGTGTATCTCAAGTCAGAGTTACTCTCAGACACAATGCCTTTTTCAGACTAGGTTGTTGGCAGGATCTCCGTATCTCCACATTCTGGAATCACAGTACACACCAACTAGGACTCAGAAATACCCAGGCATTCATGTTCTTAGTTGCCATTAGCTGGGCTTTTTTCATCCATTACCATGGAGAAACCATTGGGTACTTTACTCAAACTATGGTACATATGCAACTAGTCCTGGAAATGAACCAAGATGGCATGTCCAGGATCTTTTCTCCTTCAAAACCTAATAAAACTAACAAACATTTGCTATTACTGGTATTCTTGGTAACATTCTGAATCTGTTTAGAAATATAAATGCATGCATCCATTAACTCATTACTTAGCCATCCAGAGCCACTCTTATGTAAGGTACTACCACAGGATCTAGGGATCTAGTGGATCAAAATCCTTGCATTGTTTGAAATGCTGGGGAATGGCAGCAGTATTAGCAGATGAGAACAGAAGTTCAATTACTAAGACTATCTTGAACAGCTCTTGTAAAAGGGTAAAGAAGCTATGGAGATAGGGATGTCAGGCTGAGGCATGAAAGGAGGATTCACTGAAGAAACTGTATTTATTAAGTAAGCTGAGGCCAGGATAAGCCATACAATACAATGACATTAACTACAACATGCCTGTAAGCCCTCAATAAGTGATAAACCCACACATCTCTAAGATATATATTCCTTATTGAAAATCAATGGCATATATCTTAACATTAAAGAATACAAGATCAGATCAGTTTGAGTTGCTATATAGTACTTGTCTGCACAATATTTCAAATACTACCATCTAATTATAAATATCTATGTTTTCAAGGGGTATTCCTAGACTCAATGTTATTATGCATTTTTATAAACACATGAAAACACTGTATTTGCATACAACTTTATTATATGAATAAAAATACCTCATGCTACAGAATGTTGAACTTAACATTAATCTACAGAAAATATGAACATTTAAGAATTACTTCTCTTACAACGTTCAACTTCAGTAAAAATTTCAGGCTACTGAAAGCTGGTCATCCATTTGCTCTCAACTATGCTCACAATACGATGCTCAAGTCGACCATTTCCTGAAACTCTGTACTGTTTTTTTTTTTGCCACTTTTTAATTAACATATATTGTCATATAACACTAAAAATGAGTTATTATTCTTGATCTTAAAATAAAAGTGGCAAAGTTAGCAAGGAAATAAGACTTTGTCATAGAGGTAAAAATCAAAACTAAAATGAGGAAGATGTTAAATATGAAAACCACACCAATGAACCTTTTGTAATAAGTGTTCTGAAAGACACATTCAAATGTACACTGTGTAGAGAAGGAAAGCACAAACCCCAAGTCAGTCACAAAATACAGGGACATTTAGTTGTCTTTCTGAATGCTCAATACTCAGATACACTACAAGCCAATGCAAACTGCAGGGGAGAAAGGAAGGAGGGTAGAGACTGTTCAACACAGGGGTAGCTGACACCCACCTTTAATCTCCTGGTCCCTTTTTGAGTTTCAAATTAGAATACAATATCTTAACTTGCCAACAGGAAAGGACAGTGTTGATAATTCTGTGCAAGGTCTTTATGTCCATGTACTGAATTACTGGTCATTTATTTGGTCTTGCAGTACAGGGAGTGTTATGATACAACCAGTGGTGACTCACTTGATTTCCTGATGTCTCCCCTTTCAGGAGTCCCCTCTGAAATCAACTGCAGCATCAAGGGAGCTCCTAAGGTGGCTGTGGAGTAAAGTGATTCTGAGTCTTTCTGCTTCCTATGTAAGCATTTATCTAAGGAAAAGAGGTCATCAAGTTCAAACTGTCTAAAGAGCCATCTCCCCATGGCCCCCATGTCACAGCTCTGCATTCTCTAATAGGCAAAACTGCAAAGCTACATGTTATTAGCTGTAGGCCACATAGGTCATTGTACTGGGCTATAAAACACGCACGCGTTTACATATGTATTCTTTTATAAACTCTTTAATTGAAATTAGAGTACACTAAATATTTTACAGATTTATAAAAATTTCTTCAGCTTTCAGCACTATTAGCCAAATATGTACGTGTCAACATGGATACAAACTCTTAAGGGGAAAACTGAATGTACCTTATTATAATAAACTTTATGTTTTCAGAAATACACAGGGGGAAAACAGTCAGGAGGGACCTGAATCTGTTCATGTGGAAGGATAAAAACAGAAACAACCACAGGAAACGGAGACAACACTGTCTTAGCTCAGGCCCTTCTCTGCCCCCAAACAAGGGGCAATTAAATCCTGTGAAGACTCACGTTCAAAGTAACCCAGTCAACCACTGAAATCAAACTGCACATCAAGGATAATTTTAAAAACCTGGTCAACAAGTTTGAATGAAAACACTATTAGCAGGCAGATACTGCCAACTTTTTTTATTACATAATCATTTGGAACAACTGTCCGCAGACACTTGTCTAAGAGGGTGTCATTCTGCTGTCTTGCTTTGTGATGATACATCTGAAAAGTTACAGTACTATAGTATAAATAAATGGGTTCTCAATAAAGCCTATACTGCAGTATCTGTATAAGGACTTGTCATCGTGTGGGCATTCAGTTCTTGTCCTCACACACACTTCTGTCTTTTGGAAGACTATTATACACAAAAATGGCAGTCATTAGCATTTGCATTTGTAGGTACTTAACACAACTGATAAAAAAGCCAAGAGAAAAATTCAAATTATTTTACAAGGGTTGGATTTTTTTTCCCTGTTTTTAAAACAGGTTAATGCCCTTTTATTTACAGTGAATAAGGTATTACTAGTCCTTTTTGTGTGTATGTGTTGTGTGGACACACACACACATGAGTATGCAAGCCCATATGTGTGCCTAGAGGCCTGAAGTTGACATTCTTTATTGAAGCGCGTGCGCGGGGGGGGGGGGGGGGGGGGGGGGGGGGTTCTTGCTGAACCTGGAGCTATCCTGTTTAGTTAGTCTGGTTAGTCCTGTGTTGCAGAGCTCTGCCACATGCTGAGTCTAGAGGAAGCCACTATGCCTGCCAGGCTTTCCATGGATCCTCACCCCTGCTCCATCTGCTGATTTCATCCCTCCAGTCACTGTCTGGTTCATCAGAAAGCTAGATTATCTGTTTTTATTTGTTGGTTTTTTTAAGGCAGTCTTACACTATAGCCCAGGCTGGCCTCTAGGTCACAGTGCTCTTTCCTTAGGTCTGAAGTGGTGGTAACGGGCATGTGTGCCCACAGCTGGCTTTGGTAATCCTTTTGAACTGCAGCTGTTACCCACATTGTGTTTAACATGGGAAAAGGAGTAGGGCTGGGAATGTACTGTGAGGGAAAAGATTCTGAAGTCTTTTTTTCTATGTGATTGAGAAAAATTCTCCATAGAGATCTTGTAGTAACACTTCCAGTATTCAAAATCTTCGCTCTTAGGTGACTCTGGCCTTTAATCCTAGCACTCAGGAGGCAGAGGCAGGCAGATCTTTGTGAGTTTAAGGCCAGCCTGGTCTACATAATGAATGCCAGACCAAACAGGAATATACAGTGAGACCCTGTCTCAAAAAACAAACAAACAAATCCTAGCTCACTTCCTTGCAATAACCAGAGACCTCTAGGTCCCCTACAGCACATTCTAGCCAACCAGGAGGGAGTGGGGTCTGCTGCTGGGACAATCCCAGCTTTGGATTACATATAGGCTCAGTGCAGAGGCTAAGGCAGTTTTGAGGACAGTGACAGAAGGGCCAGCCTGCCTTATTCAGACTATTAGCAGGACAGGCTAGTGCTGGAGAGGATCTGAAGGGAGTTAAGACTTGCTAGGGAAAACATAAATCAGCAGAGAATGTCTACGTGGTTATGAGCAGTCTTTAGAAAATGATGACATTGAAGGCCCTGCTGCTGAGGGCTCAGAGAATGAGGAAGCCATTATTGGAAAACTGAAGCTTAGCTGAGTTGTACAGTTACGTGCAAAGCAGAATTTGTACATGATAAGCTTAAGAGTAAGCTGAAATTTTCAGGTAAACTTTAACCTGTTTTCCTCTTCCTAGTTATAGTGAGTTTTACAGTAAACAGAAACCATGTGAAAAGGTGACATATAAGAAGAAACCAGGGCTTTAGTGGAAGGGATTCTCGGTCTACCTAAACAACAAGCACTTAAGAAAGGTATTTTAAAAGTGACAACACTGTGGAGAAAGCTGGATGTACAGAACCGAGGTGTGGGTGTACAACCCTTAGATAACACGAGAGAGGGAACAAAAGGTCTGAAGGGCTGGGAGCGGCTCAGTAGCTAAAGTGCCTGCCATGCTGAGTGGAGTTAGGGAATCCCTGGAGTAGGCTGCCAGATCAGCTGTACTGGTGAGCTCTGGGTTTACTGAGACCCTGCCTGACTGAATAAAGTGGAAAGAGATTGAGGAAGATTCCCAACATCAACTTCAGGCTTCTCCCAAACACACATCCAGATACACACAAGCATGCACACCACACATGTAATAAAATGGTTTGCATATTCAGTCACACAAAAGGCTCTTGAAGAGATTATGGGTACGACACAGTTCTGTTTTCTCTGAAAAACTAAAAATTAGTGTTCTGTTTTCTCTGAAAAACTAAAAATTAGTGATGGGATTATTTCTGTTAGTAGAAAGATGCTTGGAAGAGCTTCCTGTTTAATGGAGCCAATCTCCATGACACACAGGAGATCCTTAAGTTTCTTGACAGATTGTTGCCATTGTAAAATGAAAGGTACACAGCACAACACGAGAAGAAGAAACAAGCTGTGTGGCTTCTGTGAGAGGAAGATGACCGACACAGTCAACACTCAGAAGACTAAGTTATGAGAGCCACACATTAATGTTGGGCCTTAGATGTTGATGGGATGTCTGGTTGGATTTGCATGCTCCTTGGTAACAGTGGCTCCATTTTTCACTGTTTCCTGTCTTTTACACATCAATGTTCATAGCTTATTCTATAGCTGTCCTGACATTTACCTGTGAGCAAATAATTAGCTTTTAGTGTCATAGGCCGAGATGAAATCTTTACTTAATTTAGCTAATCTTAATGAGATTTGGGACTTCCGAACCAATGAAATGCAGATAAGGTTTTGGACTTTGAGTCGGTTCGATACATTGAGATTTCTGAGCACCTCTGGATGGACGGGGTGAATTATTTGGTAGATGAATCTCTGAGATATTGTGGGCTGTTACCACAGCAACCTTTTCAATGCCCCCAATCCCATGAAGGTGTAACTGAAATGGAAAGAGCAGCTCTGAAGGATGATTAAGGTCACTATAAGTTAACATTTGGCGGCGACCATGGGTTCGTCTGTACATCCTCTCTCGTCTTCTATGTCCTCAAAAGCAGAGAACGGTGTCACTACAGGAGGCTCAAAGGAGGCAAGTGCTGGCTGTCAGATGAGGGAGAGCACCACGGGCAAGGAGCAGAGGTGGCCTCTGGAGGCTCAACAGCCAGAGTTTGTCTAGGGTCCCTCCAACACCCTGATTGTAGCACAGAGGAACTCATTTTCAATTTTTGACCTACATACTTTTAAGATAATAAAATCTGTGCTACTTCAGTCACAAATTCTGTATTTTCTTACATCAACAACAGAAAGTTACCTGGAAATGGTGACTAAGGATAGAATGGTGTCTGAGGGGAAACATGCTTTTCTGTTGTGAATCATTTAAGACATGCCTGGATAAGGAAAACATAAACATCTTGCTGGTAATTTTTGCTCCAGTCTCTCAGACAGAGTTCATACACTGAAAATACCCTCTGTGTTGCATACCTTCAATAGTGTTCCTATGTGTAATAGATCCCTCATTAAAATGTTGAATGAACAAATGAAAGTGGTCCAGGCAGGCTCTGGAAGGGATTATAATTTCTTGATTTTAAAGTGCTGTCTCTCATGTCTTCTCAAGAGCAGATGACTTTTACATCTATTAAAATTTAGTTTATGATACTTGTAATTTTACAAAATACAAGGCCAAAATATATTCTCTGATACTAACATAGTTCAAACAATATGTAAAAAGAATATGCAAAATCTTAGTTATTGTATGATCAAACAGTGTCAAACTCAGAGCAGACATTCTGGTATATATTACAGAAAGGGATCTTTACTAGCTACTGTTCATTGCTGCATTAAAAAACTTGAGTGCAAATTTTACCAAATGCATTTATCAAAAAAGAGTTCTTTTTACTTCATCTGCAAACGTTATTACATTGACACTGAGCACACAGTAAGTTGGTTGACCTAGATGTTTACAGCTATCAATTGAAGCCAACCCTGCAACTAAAAATTCAAACATCAAGATCTATCTGTAGTCTAAATTTATCTAGACAAATACTGGAAGATAGATCAACAGCAAAAACAGAATTTATCTGAATAATAAAAATAATTCAGTTGTTTTTATGCTGGAAGTATTTTTACTAATATGCACATTACCTATTCCTACATGGGTTGGAGCAATACTATTTTAGCTGTTGGAGTATCACGGTATTAAGAATATCTGCTTCTTGTAGGGTCAGACTTTCATCTGTTAGCTCTTTACTTGGAAACGAAGTCACAAGAATAAAGTCAGTTGTTGCAAATTCAGGACGTGATTGTATTATAAAGTCTCGGACATCCAGAATCCTGAAGGAATAAGTAAAAATAGTTTGTTGTAGCAAGGGCATATTTCCATGCAAACTTTTAGCTAAAATCATTCTCACAATAAAAATTATATAACCTAACTTTTGTTTAAAGGTACTATAATTTCTTTAAGTTACATTGTTTTGATGGGAAAGTTCATCAGATTTTGAAAGAAAAGTAATAATTTTGGAGTATACATTTGTAATAAAAACCATATTTATGTGAATTATATACAAAATAAGTATAAATAATATTATTATATTAAAAGTACAAGTCTGATTGTTTTCAAAGTAAAAACTGTTGGCAATCTAAGGCTCTAAGACACTGGGCAGGATAAGCCTAACACTATAAATCACACACACACACACATACACACACACACACACACACACACACACACACACACACACACACACACACGCATGCAGCAGTTCAGCTTTCTACGGCGCCACATTGGGGGCCAAAATGTTGTTGGTTTTTTACTCTCTTGGGGGGCCCAACCACCCAGCTCCCAAATAAATCACACATAAAGACTTATTCTTAATTATAAATGCCCAGCCTTAGCTTGGCTTGTTTCTTGCCAGCTTTTCTTAACCTAAAATAGCCCATCTACCTTTTGCCTCTGGGCTTTTACCTTTCCTTACTTCTGTATACCTTTCTTTCTTACTCCGTTCTGCTTATATAGCTGGGTGGCTGGCCCCTTGCGTCCTCCTCCTCTTGCTCTCCTTTTCCTCCCAGATTTCTCCTTCTATATATTCTCCCTGCCTGCCAGCCCTGCCTATCCCTTCTCCTCCCTCACTATTGGCTGTTCAGTTCTTTATTAGACAATCAGGTGTTTTAGACAAGCACAGTAACACAGCTTCACTGAGTTAAACAAATACAACATAAACAAATGCAACACATACATCTATGCATCATTAAACAAATGTTCCACAGCAAAAACAAATGTAACACGTCTTAAAATAATATTCTACCACACCCACACACACCCCCACACATACCCATACATATAAAAGCTAAGTGTGGTGGTATAGCCCTGTAATTCCACCTGTTGGAAGGCTAAGTCAAGATCACTGATTTTGAGGCTAGCCTAGGCTACATAGTTACACAGCAAAATCCTACCATTAAAAACAGTAACAAAAAAAGAATTTAAAAAATTATTTACATATACCTAGTAACTTAACTAAGATAAATGCACAGCAGGGTCTTATAACCAGTGAAAAATAAAAGCACTACTATGTGCAGGGAAAGTATTTATATTCAAATGAGTATTAAAGAGAATGAAACAGCCTATTCGAGATACTGTACCAACAATATAAACTACTTACACCACGCGTTTACATTACGAAGTTGCTAAACAGAAAGGTCTCATTTGAATTTCATAAACTTTTTGTTTGTTTGAGATAATGTCTTGTTATGTAGTTCAGATTTACTTCAAACTTGTACTTGCTTTGAGCTTCCAAATGATGGGATGGCAGGATGTACCACCATCCTAGCATACAATGATCAATTTTTTAACTGAGAAAGTCCCAATAGGATCTAACTATCTTGAATCTGAGTCCACTTGATATAGTTTTAGTTACAATGCAAAACTACAGCTCCTATCTTTGAGTTGTCTAAACTTAGACAAATAGGATAATTTACAATGATTATTACCATCTATTTCATTTATTGTAGGTAGTTACCATCCTTTTAAATATTCTTCTGTCTAAAGCTTACTTTGAAATGTAAAGAACTCCATCTATTCCTTATGCTTTGTGCAGTATATGAGCAACAGTATATGAATACAAAGACCCCTGGCTGGCTGGTGCAGCAGCTCACCTGTGTGTGCTGTTGAATCTCTGTATCAGACGACTTCCATCTGCCAATCTGATCTGAATTTTTGTGGTGGGCACTGAATCATCAATAAGAACAGCTGCATTAAGTATTGATTTATCCTCTTCTTCTGGGGAGGAAGGAGTACTGACGATTTCAGGTGTAAGGCTAAGAAAGAAGATTTAAGAATCAACACAAACTGAGTATGCAGGACACAGGACACACTGAAAGTAGCTAAGCCTCAGCTCTGCAGTGAGCTGTGCTGTGGTCGGTCAGAGGACTTCCCTAGCAAGACCACAGCTTACTTTTAGTTTTCTCTACTTCTTCTGGCCTCTCTAATTACATTAAAATTTGTCTGTGCTTAAGACTCCTACTAATAAGAGATCCCAGATCTCTCAGAAACCTAGCTGCATTTTCTCCAACTTCATCTCTAAACTTTCCTCACACTGTTTACCACACAGCTCAGGGAGAAATGAGAAACCAGAGACTTAATGTCAGCATGCCCAAGAGTATAAAGAAAAAATATTTCAAATCCCAACTATGTTCTAACTGGATGCACTTGAGGAAAAACCTCAACCTTGTCTAATTCTGTAAGACTGTGTTCTGTAATGCATTTATTAACCCATGAAGTCCTTCAGCATAACGTCTAGAACAAAGAAGTCAAAAGCTATTTTTGCTTATATAATCAAAACTGAACTGTTACTTTAAAACATTGGTAATACTATTTAAAAAACATCTGACTTAAGTAGATATTGCTTTGCAAAAGAGAAACAGCTCCAAGTTATTAGTGAGAAATGAATTCATTTCTCACATAAATTCACACTAGAGCTTACTAGACAAAACACCTTACCATTTGATCTTGTTTACTAGTGACCTGATTGGTTTAATAGTTTCTAATATCATCAGGATGACCAGACATAAACTAAAAGTTATTGTGAAAAAAGAACTCCTTCAAGAGCAAAACAAACTTCACCAAATCTGAAAATCTAACAATTCCTTAGCATCTTAAGGGAGTTTTTACATCTTTGTTTATAAATCTCTTAAATACTAAGATTTTAGAACCTCGTGTATTACTTCATAAAGCTCCTGCTATGAGCACTATGCTTCCATCCAAACTTAAGTTATATGTCAAGATGGTAAAGTTAACTGATCTTTACTGTCAACACTTGCCCCACTTTCTCCTGCTTCCAGATTTACAATCAATCTGAGAAAATATATGATAAAAATACACAAAAGGAAAACACAGTAAATTACTAGATACTGAAGGAAATTCTTTCTCAGGTTCCATGCTACAATCTTAAGCAGTTGCACTGTCAAGCGAGGGCACAGGGGAGAGGGATGAAGATCAGATGAAGAGGTGCCCGAAGACAGGATGGTCTTTCTCCTCACCAGCAACCATGCACACACACCATCAACAGCACCACACATTCATTTCACTCACTTGTCCTGTGACCCCGAGTCAGCCATCCCCACTGGCCTGAGTCCTTGTCTGCTGGGGGAGAACTGCTCTGTTGTACAGATTAACCCCATCAGGCACAAAGGCACTTAGGTTTCTACACTACCTAAAGCAGTGACCTACTGAGAAACGACAAAACTGACTTAGTTCTTTTCTATGACATAGAGCTACTGCATAAAGGTGTTTCCATCATCTAATATCTTCTAAGAAGAACTCTGAGCCGGCAGGAAAGCTTCTTCCCAAACAAGAATGAAGTATGAAGAGGAAGGGAACTCAGTAGAAAGCGTGCTTGTACGAAGCTTGAGTGTAAAAATGTATTCTTTACAAATTGGAATGGATGACTTTCAGAATAGGTGTGGCAGCCATATCAGTGGAACAGCTCTGAGTCAGAGGTGAACCAGAACCCCTTCACATGCTAAGTTCAGTACTAGTGAGCAGGCACTGTGGTGTTATCACTAATTCAGCGCTCACTTCAAAGTTACTTTCCTTTGCTGTTGACAGCTTCCCCACTCGCCCTCCTGTTGAGGCAGTGTCTCACTCTGTAGCTCAGGTTGGCCTTGAACTGATCCTTCTGCCTCAGCCTCATGACTGCTGGACTACAACAATGCACAGCCAACTGCCCCCTTAGTCAACCATCACACTACCGGGACAGTTTTTAAAAGATTGTTCTGTGTACAAGTGTTTTGCCTACATTTATGCATATGCACTATGAGCAGGCCTTGTGCCTGTGCAGGTCAGGGAAGGCATCGGTTCCTTTGAATCTAGAGTTATAGATGGTTGTGCTCTGCCCTAAATGGGTACTGGGAACCAAACCAAGTCCTCTATAAGAGCAGCACATACTCTTAATCACTGAGCCATCTCTGCAGCCCTCTATAGTGACATTTTCATATACTGTTTTTATTTTAAGGTTAATTAAAATCAATTTATTTTTAAAGAGAGAAATTAAGATACAAAGAGACTTTTAAGAAAGCAGGAAGAACCCTGTCTCGAAAAACCAAAAAAAAAAAAAAAAAAAAAAAAAAGAAAGCAGGAAGAAAGGATTTGAACTGAGATTCCCTCAGACATCTGAAAGTAACATGAAAATAATTACCATCAGCTGGAGAAATTCTTTGAAGCCAAAGCAAAGCAATGTGCTTAAGCATGTGACATAGGCATAGAATGAGGGCTGAGCGAGGAAGGGAGGGAGCATCTGGGGTCGGTCCTACAGGATCTAGGGGGCCCACCACTGCCTGCTCCACAGGCTGACACTGTAAGCAGTTCCAGCTGCATGAGGCAGAAGATCCAGGGGCTGTAGAGAGGCAAGGGCTAACGGAGCAGGAGGACTGGCAGGTAACAGAAGGCAGGCCAGAGGCGCTGCTTGGCATCAGACAAGAGCATCCTGAAGACTAGGGACGAACTCGAAACCCATCTCAGATTCAGGGACAGATGACCGAGTGGCAATCAGAATCTTCTCAACTAAACAGCACACAAACAGACACAGAGATTATCTACTCAAGGTGCATCATTTCTCATTATACAAAATGCCCCTGGCAAATGTCACCTCTAGTCCTTCCTGCCAGCAAAAGACTGACATTTTCTACGTCTTTTTGGGCTCAAATCCAGCTCAATTCAAGCTATTCTACCATTTGTAAATGTACAGCTGTCACCCATGACTTCCTTATTTCCATTTACTGGTGTATCACAAGAAAACTCAGATAACTTCTGCCTGTACACCCTTTGTAATTAGACTACTGTCTATGGACAAAAATGGATTCTTTTCTTCTTTGTACCTGTGTTAAGCTCTTGGAAAATGAGAACTGTTAAGCTTCTATATCAATAGTCAATAGTTTTTTAGTTTCAATTTTCCTTTTTTTTTCCCCCTAAGTTTTGGTGCCAGGGATCAAACTTAATACAGTTCTTAATGTAAGTGTCTAATGTAAAATGTGATGAGCAATTCTTCACTTTAGAAAATGTAATATTTGGTTAAATATGAGTTTATGTGTACTGAGTCACATCATATTAACATGCTGGTGTTAATTTTCTGTATATTAAAACTGAACAAATTCCTTTTTCCACATTGAGGCATGGTCAAGCTCTCAAGGTCAGGCTAGCAACAGGGTGAGTAAACCACTGAGACTGGACGCAGACTGGGTAGAAGGCTGAGGGTAACCTTGCAATTCTGCTCTTCCTGCCTCTATCTCCTTAGTGCTAGGATTACAGGTGTGGACCACCAGGTCAGGTTTGTAGTGCTGGAGACTGAACCTAAGGGCTGCTTACAATCCACAGAAAACGACCAACTGAAGCACACTGGCCCTGCTGCCGCATCTCAGTGTTTGTTCATGGCAGACACATCCACAAAAGGTGTGAGGTAACATATCCACTGCTTTTTCCAATCAGCAACACTTTACAGTTTCTCTTTTGAAGCTGTGTAATTGGAAACAGAAATGAAAGAACACACACACAAAGAACAGAAAAACGCATGGAACGAGAACAGGAGAACAAAGGGAGCTCGTAGGAGAGGGGGAGGGCGGTGTGTGCAGGGGATATGTACAAAGCAACGCAAAGCATCATGCATTATACAGTTCCATGAAAACGGCCAAAACTGAACCAGAGAACAAGGCACAGTGGTCAAAAGCACACACCCCAGAGTGCGTGGGTTGGAATTGGTTCCAGTCATTCTCTAGCTCAACCATATCTTGGGCAAATTACTATTATTTCAAAACTGAGTAAAGATTTATTTTCATTTTTCATTATACAGATGTGTGTCTGTGTGGCTAAGTGTGCACATGTGCAGGTGCCCACGGATGCCTGGAACTGGAGTTACAAGTAGGTGCGCGCTGCATGGGATGGGTGTGGGGAACCAAACTCGGTCCTCTGCAAGAGCAGTGTCTGTTTAAAGAGCTGTTATAAAAGGAGCTATTGAGTGCACAGAGGACTGATCTCTGGGTACTTGCTACTAATATTATTATCCAAATTCCTAATTCCAGTAGGAAGGTCTTTATAGCTCATATTTCAGTTTTTACTTCACAAGTCATTTTTATTTCTTATTCTCAAAGAAATATCATTTTGAGCAAAAAGGTGTTTTTCTCACTAGAGGAATTTTACCTTCCAAGTTTTTGCCCTTCTCCACTAAAAGCCTTAAATCGCAATCTGGGTTTTATATACTCTTGGTCTTGATGATCCTCCATATCCAGATTCACTTGGCTGCCATGGACCAGTCGCTGAAGCTCCAGGGGAATCTCTCTTAAAAGGAGGGAGAGAAGGTTTTAGTTAAGATTGTTTAAAAGTACACTACTTCATTGGGGTGACTATAATTAAATCACGAGCTACATGCTAACAAAAATTTCCATGGTGGTTTTGGGGTCCACATAGATTATTCTTTCTTCAAGTTACGTCACACTTTTTTAAGTCTGACTTTACTTTAAATGTATGAGTGTTTTGTCTCTATGTATGTCTATGTACCATGTGCATGCCTGGTGCCCTTGGAGGATAAATATGGCCCTGTGACTGGAGTTACACATAGTTGTAAAGCACCATGTGAATGCTGGTCCCCTGAAAAAGCAGCCAGTGCTGAGTCATCTCATCTAGCTAGTCACACTGTTCTTTAGTGATTCTTAACATAGAAATGTTTTGGATGTCACAACGACCTTCGAGTATCTTTAGAAAGTCAAATTATAAGACAGCAATTGATGTTTAAATTAGCACAAGAGAATTCTTATATGAGTTAAAAGTTAATTCAAATACTTTTGTTTCTTTCTTGAAATAGGGTCTCACATTGTGACTCAGGCTAGGCTGGAATGCAGTGTATAGATCAGGCTAGTTACAAACTCACAGCAATCCTCCTGCTTTAGACTCTCAAGTACTGGAAGTCTGCACGTGTTTATTTCTAATAATAAATTAGAAGTTGTGTAAACTGATGCCAAGGTGTTTCAGTGTCAGATGACTGGTGACACTCCATGTTTCAGCATGAGGGGCGGGGCTGTGAGACATGGCCATGGCGGAGTTATCTTTTTTAAATTAAAAATTGTTTTAGGTCACAGAAGAACAGATGAGTGACCTGGTTGCCAGCTGAACTGCCTCACTCCCTAGATTCTATTCCCAAAGAACCATCCCACATCACACACCCTCCCAGCCTGTTGCCTTTCCCACTTCCAGGCCCTGTCCCCAACCCCAGCAGACTCCCTCTGCTTATGCACAGGCCACACCAGTCAGAAGAACAGAGACCCCCTGTTGCAACAAAAGCCAAGCTGGCCACCAGAAGGTCAGCCCCCAACTTTGCCAGAGACTCTCTACTAGATCAGAGGTCACGCCAGCCACAAGAAATCCAGGCTACAAAGACCAGAAGACTAAAGAGGAACAGAATACAAGAGAAGGAAGAGAGAATCTCAGGCACAGAAAATACGATAGAATAGATTCATCAGTTGAAAATGTTACATCTAAAAAACTAATGCCAAACATCCAGGAAATCTGGGACACTATGAAAAGACCAAACCTGAGAATAATAGGAATAGAAAGAGAAGAATCGCAGCTTGAAAACCCAGAAGATATATTTAACAAAATCATAGAAGAAAATTTTCCTAACCTAAAGAAGGACATGCTTATAAATGTACAAGAAGCATACAAATAGATTTGATCAGAAAAAAAGTCCCCTTGACACATAATAATCAAAACACTAAACATACAGAATACAGAATATTAAAAGCTGCAAAGGAAAAAGACCAAGTAACAAATAAACACAGACCTATTAGAATTATACCGGACTTCTCAATAGAGACTCTAAAATTCAGAAGGGCCTGAATAGATGTCCTGCAGACTCTAAGAGACCATGGATACCAGCCCAGACTAATATAGCCAGTAAAACTTTCAATCACTATAGATGGAGAAACCAAGATATTTCATGACAAAGCCAAATTTAAACAATATCTATCCACAAATCCATCCCTACAGAACGTACTAGAAGGAAAATTCCAACCCAAGGAAGTTAATTACAACTATAAACGCACAGGCAATAAATAATTTCACATCAGCAAAACCCCAAAACAGGGAAACACACATGTACAATACTACTACCACTGCCAACAAAATAATAGGAATTAACAATCACTGGTCTTTAATATCTCTCAATATCAATGGGCTCAATTCCCTAATAGAAAGACACAGGTTAACAGAATGGATACAAAAACAGGATCCATTCTGCTGCTACTTACAAGAAACACACCTCAACATCAAATACCGACATCACCTCAGTGTAAAGGGCCAGAAAAAGATTTTCCAAGCAAATGGACCAAAGAAGCAAAATGGTGTAGCTCTTCTAATATCTAATAGAATAAATTTCAAACCAAAATTAATCAAAGGAGATGGAAAAGGATATTTCATACTCATCAAAGGAAAAAATCCATCAAGATGATGCTTCAATTCTTAATATTTATGCCCCAAATGCAAGTCACCCATATTTGTAAAAGAATTATTACTAAAGCTTAAAACACATTGAACCTCACACATTAATCATGGAGACATCAATACCCCACTCTCACTAATGGACAGTATATCCAGAGAGAAACTAAACCAAGAAATAATGAAGCCAACAAACCTATGATTCAAATGGACCAAACAGATATCTGCAGAACATTTCACACAAACACAAAAGAATATACCTTCTTCTCAGCATCTCAAGGAACATTCTCCAAAATGTACTACATACTCAGTCACAAAACAAGTCTCAAAAGGTACAAGAAAATTTAAATAATCCCCTGTATTCTAGCAGGACACTAAGGATTAAAGCTGGATATCAACAACAACAGAAAGCCTACAAATGCAAAGAAACTGAACAACTCCCTACTGAACAACTATTGTGTCAAGGCAGAATTAAAGAAATAAATGAAAGACTTCCTAGAATTCAATGAAAATGAATGCAAAACTTACCTAAACTTATGGGACAAAATGAAAGTGGGGCTAAGAGGAAAGTTCTTATCACTAACTGCTTTCATAAAGAGATTGCAGAGATCTCATACTAGCAACCTAACAGCATACCTGAAAGCTCTAGAACAAAAAGAAGCAGACACACTCAAGAGGAGTAGACTGGCATGAAACAATCAAACTTAGGGCTGAAGTCAATAAAATAGAAACAAAGAGAACCAAACAAAGAATCAATGAAACAAAAAGTTGGTTCTTAGAGAAAATCAACAAGATAAACAAACCCTTATCCAAACTAACTAAAAGACAAAGAACATCCAAACTAACAAAATCAGAAATGAAAAGGGAGACATAACAACAGACATTGAGGAAATGCAAAGAATCATCAGGTCATACTTCAAAAACCCATACTCCACAAAATTGGAAAATCTAAAAGAAATGAAGCATTTTCTCAATAGATACTACTTACCAAAGTTAAATCAAGATCAGATAAACTATTTAAATAGACCTACAGCCCCTAAGGAAATAGAAGTAGTCATTACAAGTCTCCTGACCAAAAAAGGCCCAAGGCCAAACAGTTTTAGCACAGAATTCTACCAGACTTCTAAAGAAGAGCTAATACTCCTCAAATTATTACCCAAAATCGAAACAAAAGGAACATCGCCAATTCATTTTATGAGGCCGCCGTCACCCTGATACCCAAGCCACTCAAAGATTCAACAAAGAAAGAGAATTACAGACCAATTTTCCTCATGAATATTGATGCAAAAATACTCAATAAAATACGCATAAACACAATCCAAGTACATCAAAAAGATCATCCACCATGATCAAGTAGGCTTGATGCAGGGATAGTTCAACATATGAAAATCTGTCAATGTGCCCAACAGATAAACAAGATGCAGGGATGATTCAACATATGAAAATCTGTCAATGTAATCCACCATATAAACAAGATGCAAGGATGGTTCAACATATGAAAATCTGCCAATGTATTCCATCATAAAAACAAGATGCAGGGATGGTTCAACATATGAAAATCTGTCAATGTAATCCACCATATAAACAAGATGCAAGGATGGTTCAACATATGAAAATCTGCCAATGTATTCCATCATAAAAACAAGATGCAGGGATGGTTCAACATATGAAAATCTGTCAATGTAATCCACCATATAAACAAGATGCAAGGATGGTTCAACATATGAAAATCTGCCAATGTATTCCATCATAAAAACAAGATGCAGGGATGGTTCAACATATGAAAATCTGTCAATGTAATCCACCATATAAACAAGCTGAAAGAAATACACACACACACACACACACACACAATCATCTCACGGGATGCTGAAAAAGCCTATGACAAAATCCAACACTCCATCATGATAAAAGTCTTGGAGAGATTAGGGATACAAGGGACACACCTAAACATAAAAAAAGGCAATTTACAGCAAGCCTGTAGCCAACATCAAATTAAATGGAAACTCAAAACAATTCCACTAAAATCAGGAACAAGACAAGGTTGTCCACTCTCTCAATATATATTCAATATAGTATTTGAAGTTGTAGCTAGAGCAATAAGACAACTAAAGGAGATCAAGGAGATAAAAACTGGAATGGAGTAAGTCAAAGTATTACTATTTGTAGATGATATGATGGTATACATAAGTGACCCCAAAATTTCTACCAGGGAGCTCCTACAGCTGATAAACACCTTTAGTGAAGAGGCTGGAAACAAGATTATCTTAAATAAAAAAATCAGTAGCATTCCTATACACAAATGTCAAATGGACTGAGAAAGAAATCAGGGAAAACAACACTCTTCACAATAGCCAGAAATAATATAAACTATCTTGGGGTAACTCTAACCAAGCAAGCGAAAGACCTGTATGATAAAAACTTCAAGTCTTTGAAGTAGGAAATTAAAGAAGATATCAGAAGGTAGAAAGATCTCCCATGCTCATGGATCGGTAGGATTAGCACAGTAAAAAACGATCATCTTACCAAAAGCAATCTACAGATTCAATGCAATCCCCATTAAAATCCTAACACAATTCTTTACTGACTTTGAAAGAACAATACTCAACTTCATATGGAAAAACAAAAAATCCAGGATAGCTGAAACTATTCTACACAATAAATGAACTTCTGCAGGTATCATCATCTCTGATTTCAAACTGTACTACAGAGCAATGGTAATAAAAACAGCATGGCACTGGCATGAAAGTAGACACATTGACCAATGCAATCAAATCAAAGATCCAGATGTAAATCCACATACTTATGGATATCTGATTTTTGATAAAGAAGCCATATGTAACAGAAAAAAGACAGCATCTTCAACAAAGGGTGCTAGTCTAACTGGATGTCAGCATTGTGTGCACTGGCACAGGAGACAACTTCCTGAACAGAACACCAATAGCGTAGGCAAGGAACTAAGATCAACAATTGATAAATGGGACTTCATGAAACTGAAAAGTTTCTGTAAGGCAAAGGACACCATTAATAGGACAAAAAGGCAGCCTACAGAATGGAAGAAGATTTTCACCAATTCCATATCTGACAGAGGGATGATCTCCAAAATATATAAAGAACTCAAGAAACTAGACATTAACTAAATAATCCAATTAAATGGGGTACAGATCTAAACAGAATTCTCAACAGATGAAACTCAAATAGCCAAGAAACACTTAAAGAAATGTTCAACATCCTTAGTCATCAGAGAAATGTAAATCAAAACGACTGAGATTATCTTACACCTGGCAGGATAGCTAAGATCAAAAACATAAGTGACAGCTCAAAAGTGTCCAGGATCTGGAGCAAGCACTCGCCCCCATTGCTGATAGAGTGTAAACTTGCACAGTCACTTTGGGGATTAATATGGTGGTTTCTTAGAAAACTGGGAATTGAGCTACCTCAAGAACTCAGCCATACCACTCCTGGGCACATACCCAAAAGACATTCCATCCTATCACAAGGGCACTTGCTCACCTATGTTCATAGCAGCTTTACTCATAATTGCCAGAAACTGCAAACAACAGAATGTTTTAGATGTTCCCCAACTGAAGAATGAATACAGAAACTTGATTCATGTGGTACATTTACACAATGGAGTATTACTCATCTGATACAAACAATGACATTATGAAATTTGCAGGCAAATGGATGGAACTGAAAGACAAACATAGTACATACTCACTTATAAGTGGATATTAGCTGTAAAGTAAAGGATAACCATGCTATAATCCATAGACCCAGAGAGGCTAAGTAACAAGGAGGGCTCAAGAGGGGACGCAAGGATCTCCCTAAGGAGAAATAGGACAGCTTTTGCAGGTGGACTGGGGACCAGTAGAAGTTTAGAACAGGAGGATCAACTGTGAGGAGGTGATACTGAGAGAAATAAGTGGAATTGGGGAAAATTTTGGCAGTGAGATGGAAACCTAGTGAAATGGAAACCCCATGCGATCTACAAGAGTAACCCTAGCAAAGATTCTTAGTAATGGGGGACACAGAGCCTGAACCAGCCATCTTCTGCAACCAGGCAAGGCCTCAAATGGCGGGATTGAGACACCAACCCAGCCACAAAAACCTTCAATCTGCAGGTTGTCTGCCTACAGAGTATACTAGGATCAGAGCCTAGCAGTATTGTCATCAAACAGACCATGAGACATCATCCAGCAACTGAATGGGGGCAGATACAAAGTCCTACAGCCAACATTAGGCACAGCCAACATTAGGCACAGTCAGGGGAGTCCTTTGGAGTAGGGGAAGGAAGGATAGCAGGAACCAGAGGGGTGAGGGACCCCAAGAGAACATGGCCCACAGAATCAATTGACCAGGACTCATGGTGCCTCACTGAGTCTCCTGGTCAAATTTCATTAAAAGGGCTCTACCTTCAATTTCTCTGTGGGCTTTTCCTGCTTTGTAACCTCACAACTCACCATCAACCTTATGCTTTTAGTTGCATTTCTACTTAGGAAAAACTCTACAGCAGGAGTGGGGTATTGATATAATAGGCCTGACCATGCAGCACTTTGTTGAGTACTGTAGTGGAACTTAGTGGACCATCCTAGTAGGAACATGGTTGACAGTAAAGCTGAGCACAATGTGGACTATGGAAGCTCAGCTCAAGAGATTTCAGAGAACAACAGTGGTAACTGGGCTAGAACTATCCTGGCAAAGAATATGGCTGGTTTTTGCCTTAGTCCTAAGAATCTGCCTGAGGCTAAGTTGAACAGTTTTGAACTAATCTGGTTGCCAGAGAAGATTTCAAGAGAGCCTAGTATTGACTGTCAAGTGGTTATTAGTGGTCACTCTTATGTAGGTCTACAATGAAGAAGGGCAAGCAGGGCAAAAAGAAAGATAAGATGTACAGTTTGAGAAGAAAGAAAGCAGCGGGAAATTTAATGTTGGAGTCATGCTTTGTGCTGAAGGAGATAAGGAGAAGGGAATAAAGGGAGTGGCACCCTCAGGGAAACTCCACCCAGCTAATCCTGCAGCCTGTGAACAGAAAAGTCCTACAGTGCCACCTGTTCCTAATGAGCAACAACAAATCAAAACTTATGTACACGTAATTCAAGGGAGGAGCTAGATTCCATCCCAGGCAGGCAGCAAAATCTGGCAGCTCTGGCCACAGGGTTCTGGCTCTACAGTTGTAAAGGATACAGGAGAACAGGGTTTAAAAGGAGTTGTTGAGTTGGGCGGTGGTGGCACATGCCTTTAATACCAGCACTCGGGAGGCAGAGGCAGGAAGTTCTCTGTGAGTTCAAGACCAGCCTGGTCTACAGAGCGAGATCCAGGACAGACACCAAAACTACACAAGAGAAACGCTGTCTCAAAAAAACCAAAAAAAAAAAGGAGTTGCTGAGGACAGGTGTGTGGCAGGGGTGTCCCCACATGGAGACCCAGAGAGGCCAACTGGTGAAGCTGTGAAAGTGAAGCTTGGATTATTTTGGAGATCCCAAGATGTTGGAGATGCCAAACCATGGGATATCTGCCAAAGAGAGCTGCAGACAGGGAGAGGAATGAGCCTAAGAGAGAGAAGTGTGTTGTAGTCAACAACGCTGGAAGTATTCAAATCGGAATACTCAGTCCCCAGTTGGTAGAACTTTTGAGAAGGATCAGAATTCATGGCTTTGGAGGAGGTACGTCACTGGGGGTAGGCTTTGAGGTTTTAAAGCTCACACCATTCCTAGCTGGCTCTCTGCCTCATGCCTGTGGATCAGTTCTCAGCTACTGCTTGAGTGGTTCCTATGCCTGCCTGCCTACAGCCATGCTTTCAGTCATAATGAATATGGACTCACCCTCCAAAACTGTATACTCCCATTACATGCTTTCTTTTATAAGTTGCCCCGGTCATGGTACCTTGTCAACAGTAAGCAGGACAGAGGCTTAATGGATAGGCAGATAGAGCTATTCCATTTATTATCATATTTCTTCTTGGAGCAAAGTCCATAGTGTCATGACATTTAAGAGGTACAATCATCCAATGTCCTTTCTCCACAAAGATCCACCTCCCCAAAGTCACTTGTGGGATATGTCATAGCAATTTATTCTTGAAAGCTAGTAGTGTATACAGAACAGTTAAAAGAGAAACAGGGCCTGGGGAGACAAGCTACTTTGTCAAATAGTTGCCACACAAGCATGACGACATGAGCTCAATCTCAAGAGAACCCGTGTAACAAGGCTGGATGTGGTACTATACGCTGGTATTCCAGCAGTGGGCCACAGATCCCTGGGGCTCAGTGACCAGCCAGCCTAGCCTATTTAATAAGTTCTAGGCAAGTGAGAGAATACTACTGAGATTGACCTATGACCTCCACATGCACATGTACATATATGCAGTAACAGGAACATACATGGACATACTCAAAATAGTTCTATTCAACATAATAAAGAGAACACAAATAATTCATCTTACCCTCTCTTAACAGATTCCAAAAACTGAGCATTTGTTGGGTCATTGTAAGGTCTCAATTCTCCATCATCTAAACTAAAACCATTGCTCCACAGCTTCAGCAAAACTTGAACCTTTTGGAGACAGGGCAAAAAAAAAAAAAAAGAATTCATCTCCAAACAATTTTAAGTTTCAATGTTGTCTCTCCTAACTTACTACCTGATTAACTTACCTTAAAATAGAGATATTTGTTTTAGTCAAAGCTAAACATGTGTGTCCATGTGTTTACTTAACAGGTTTATTTTTAGCTTAAAACACTTAAAATAGCTGCAAATATCAAAGTCCCATGGGTGGAGGTTGGCTCTGAGCAATCACTCAGAGCTCACTGAGAAAACAGAAGCAACGAGAAGACAGACTCCATTTGGTACCTGTAATTCAGACCTTTCATCCACACTCTAAATCTCTCTAGTTCTACAGCTTAAATATTCACACCAAGGGGCAAGGGAGACCTTCTAAGATACTGTTAATATCTAAAATAAATCTGTAATTTTAGTACTTCCAAATGCAACAGAAATAATGATTTCACATGTTTTTATAATTTAATTCATGTTGTATTATAAAAATATACAATTCTAAAGAAAAAATTTTAAGAATTATACATTCTGCTGGGCAGTGGTAGCATACGCCTTTAATCCCAGCATTCAAGAGGCAGAGGCAGGCAGATCTCTGTGAGTCTGAGGCCAGTCTGGTCTACAGTGTGAGTTCTAGGACTGCCAGGGCTACACAGAGAAACCGTGTCTTGAAAAAACAAACCAACAAAAAAACCCTAAAAATTACACATTCTAATATAGCAGTAGAAATATTGTGACTGAAAACACACAGGTTCTTTAACTCATACTTCAAAAACTACTAAGGGAGACTGTATTTATAGTGTCAACAATTAATTCAGAAAGGGGAGAAAACTATGAATTAGAGGTGAATGCTTGAACATTTTGATGACTATACCTACATCTTGCAGCTGATTTTCTCCATAGATGTACTCTGAACGCTTACAGAAGGAACTGCCCAATCTGTATCCTCCTCCTGTAAATGACTGAAATACACGATAAATGGGTTAAGAGTTCACTATGGCTTAAAGTCAAAACATTATTTGTATACTTGATATTTCAAAACTAGACAAATAATTATTGGCCAGATTCATAGTGACTAGGAAAATAAAATAACCTTAAGTTATAAATAAGTGTATGTGAGAAATTAAATGTGTTTTCATATAAATATTAGCAACTCAAAATGTGAAATAACTTAGTCTGATCCCCAGAAGCCACATGGTAGGAGAGAATAGGCTCCTACAAGCTGTCCTCTGACTGCCACATGTGGGTTGTGGATATGTTTGTACATGAGCACAAACATAAAATAAATAATTATAACAACAAAGAATTCTGTATGTGTTTTACAGGCTTTTAAATGTTTTTGATGTTTCTAATTGAAACAGAAATTACATCACTTTCCCCCCTCCAGGCCCTCCCACACACCCCACTCTCAAGTTGATAGCCTCTTTTTATTATTGTTACATACATGCATGTTATATAAATCCATATCTCATTCTGAATGTTTTTGTTGGTGGTGTGTATATGGCTTCAAGGCTGATCACTCCGTATTGGATAACCAATAAGAGACTCATCCCTGGGAGAGGTAATTCTCCTTTTCCCAGCAATCAATAGTTGCCTGTCGTTTTTAGGGGTGTGACCACATGCAATTTCCCCTTCCATGTTAACATGTCCACTGAAACTGCCACTGTTCCAGTCCTGTTCACACAGCCATTTCTAGGAGACTGTTTCACAGCTGGCTTCCTGGTGTTCTGGCTCTTACAGTCTTTCTGCCCCCTCTTCTGAGATATTCTCTGAGCCATAGATGCAGGAGCTGTGGTGCAGATGTATCTGTTGGGGATGAGCTTCCCCATGACCTGTTGATCTCTACACTGTGGCCATTTGTGGTTTCTTGTGATGGCCTCCATTTTAAGCTGTTTTCTTAGCTACAGTAAGTCAGCTATGATCACACTTTGGATCCTGCTATACTGAATACATAGTCTTCAGGTAGGATAATCTGAGGAGAAATGGCTTTTCTCTTAATTACTGCATCACAAATGTGCTTTAAATTACAACCTTGCTTTGTTTTACATACTAAATCAATTCCATGCCCAATTTTTTTTTTTTTTTTTTTTTTACAGAACTGGAGAACTTGGAAATGTTCAAATGACCTCAAGGCTTGACAGAAGGAAGTTTTCTAGCTGTTGCCAAATAAAGACTAAAACTGAAGTTTCATGGAGAACAGTCATTCCCAACAATGGGTGCCAAGATCGGAAGGGCTTTACCAAGACACACGTCCAAGCACCTCTAACGTCCCAGACAGTTAAGACAGCACTGACCTTGGCTTTGTCATCACTTGAAGATCTTGTAGCTTCACTTAGAGGGACGGCCCCATGTTCCCTTGCCTCTTTGAAAAGTTCATTCACAATTTTCCCAGTTGGAGGTTGAACTATATGTAATCCACCATATTCCTGTTCACCTGAATAAAGTCTTTAAACATCACAGCTCATAAGTAAAAACTCAGAATAGACATAAACTACTCCATAATAAGAAGCTACACAGTCATATGAAATAACTCTTATTTATTAAGAAGTACCTGAGTTCTTCAGAGACATGTAACTTTAAGAGGGAACTCAGGCAAATATTAAGATAGGGATAGTTTGTATCCCTTCTGAGTTTGTGGAGATTCTGACAATTTCAGGAAGCAACATGACAACTGGAGTCCTTGTTTCCTCCCTCAGCCCTGGGTGACTGCTTAGGGATTCCTATTTTCACAGAGCAAGCTCTTCTCCTGTGGTGGGGAAGCACTGCCGACACCCAGGGGCTACTTTTGCCCTGCCCCATATGGCTATACAATGAATGTTTATTCTTCGGAGAAAGACCTACTGCATTACAAGTCCCAGTGTAAATAACTTCATATATTCCCTATGCAGTAACTAGATCTGTAGTAACTAAGTCTCTAACTTCCTAACAGCTACAAAACATAAATTTCTATTCACCTAAGATTAATATTCTAATCTTTCATGACTGACGTTTCTGCCCAGGATATCAGAACATTTAATCAATGGAGTATCACAGAGACTTCCAGTATAAGGTGATAGAGTTCACTTTTTATTTTCCCACACCTTCTACCCTAGTTCCCAATTCAAACTAACTCACAGAGGAACAGTGAAAACTACAACAGCCCTGGAGAAGAGACAGAGGTTCCCTTCAAGGTTTTCTCCTAAACTGGCAAATGAGATACAGAGGAACTGGCAGTTCTCATCTCCTGCAAGTGAAAGAAAATCTACCTGGACACAAGTGTGTACAGCAGCAGAATGCCACTACTGGTGTGGAGAGGGGCACCACTCGGTCAGTGTCACTGAGTACACTAGAACCCACAAAGCCTTCTTTCCATGCTTACAGCGCATACTGGGGGCGGTGAGTGTGTGTGTGTGTGTGTGTGTGTGTGTGTGTGTGTGCAGTGAGCAGGGAACAGAGGGCCTGCCTGTCTCTGAGATAAGCAGTGTTGGAGAGGAGGAACCGGACAGCACATGGCCTCAGGTAATTGTGACAAACAGAAAAGCAGAGCAAAGCTTCCTCCATTTTTGCCCCCCATATAGCTTCTTCCCTCCCCGTCTCATATCAACAAGCTGGCAAAGTAAATGATCCTGCCTCTTTGTCTTGGTGACAACGAACTGAGAAAACTGGTCACAGGAAAAGATTTACCAGATTGTTATCATGCAGCACTGTATTTTCTTCAAGCAGCCCCACTGTCTGAACTTTTATATTCAGAGCCGAAATCCATCTGGAACTAATGACTGCATGTTACATAAGGGAGAGGCCAGTACTAATGTCTTCCCTTGACTATGCCATGAAACTCCCCCTCCTCGATGCTCTGCAGTGGCATCTTTGTCAGAGCCAAACAGCCATCTCCAAGGGTGCAAGACTCAGGGTGCTGGTCTTGGCTCACTGATCAGTCTCTTAGGCCTCCGCAGCTTTGGTATAAGTCTCCATATTGAGTACTTTACATCCTGAGCTGGATGGGTGCTTCATGAATTCTCTAGCCGTTCCTTGTGGAGACAGAGGACCAAGAGTATCTACAGCTGGTGCAGTAACATTTCCCACTTAACATCCTTTTCTCCCATTGCTGTAATTTTATATTTATTTTCTAAAAGGATATAGGGTTTTTTTCTTAAAAGATACAGTTTTTCCTAAAAGGATTAACAATCAATATTGAAGGCCAAATATATTTTCATTCAATTCTTATAACTAAACGATCCTCATTTTCCAGATGAGAAAACAAACTAGGGGAGGTCAATGAAAAAGACACACACACACACACACACACACACACACACACACGCCGGGTGTGGCGGGGGAGCCTCTGCGAGGTATCTCTGCTTAGAGGCAGCAGTCTTGTAGCTGTAGCTCTTTTTCACTGAATGAACTTTAATGCACACTAGTATTTCAGTGACTTCTAAATGAATGCAACACACTAACGGGAGCCAACTGCAAAAGGAACATCTAAGTCTCCTCACTCAAAATACACTAAGGAGCCAAGCATTTAATCCAGCACAAGGCCCTCATAGGAGTCGAGACTTGTGTGACAGCACGGGTGATGTATCCATGAGGCTCAACCCGGCTGCACTTCCACGTCCCCAACATCTCTAATTTGCCACTCATCTGTACTGGTCCTTAGCTTCTCCTTCTGTGTTCTCCTGTCCCTTTGTCTGCGCCTCTTCGTCCCGACCTTCAGGGAGGACTTAGATTGTAGTCATTGTTTAAGGCCTATGCTAGGCATATTGTACAGCCCATCTCTTTTAATTCTCAAAACAATGCTACATGATCTGTGGAGGACATGGCCTACATTTTGCTTCTTGTATACAGCCTCTCATGAGTCAATTTGTTAAAGAAGCTGTCAAACTATCCTGAAGGTTTTTCTACAGATTACACACTTCTTCTTGTACGCTAAACACATAGACCACACTATGTCTAATATTTTTGATAATGAAAATACATTGGTGTTTTATTTAGCTTCTACTGACCAAAAACAAACTGGGGGAGAAAAGGGTTTACTCCATTATACAGGTTATCAATTACTGAGGGGAGTAATGGCAGGAACCTGGGGGTGGGAACTGAAGCTGAGACATGGAGAAATGCTACTCACTAATTTGCTCTCTATGGTTTGATCATCATACTTTCTTATACACCCTAAGACCACCTGCCAGGGGTGGCACCTCCCACATGGGCTGGACCATCCCACATAATTCATTAATCAAGAAAATGCCCCCGCAGACATGCCTATAGGCCAGTCAGATGGAGTCAATCTCTCAATTGAGAGTCCTCTTTCCAGGAGACTGAAGCTTGTGTCAAGCTCACAAAAACTAACCAGTACAGTTGGCTTAAAAAGTCAGTATGCCAGGTGTGGTGGTGCTAGCAGTCTCTGGAAATATCAACATTTGGGAAGCTGAGGCTGGAGGATTGCCTGTTTGAGGGTAGCCTGATTGACAGTGAGTTCTAGGCCTGCCTAGGCTATATATGATACCCTGAAAATCACAAGAACAAAATGACAAGCAACATATAACTTTTGATTTCTAATACTGCCCTAGGAGGACATGACAATTAGCAGCTGCCTATATAAAGTAAAAGTGGAACAGCAAACAGAGCAAATGTTCTCACTGAATGTAAAGTAGGGAAGTATAAATTGTTGTATGAAGTGAAAATAGTATCATGCTTAGAAAAAAGATTGCTAATGATCTCTGTATGCACTGTACCTTAAGTGATTAAAATGTCTCAGTAGTTTGTAAAGAAACTCATCCTTTTGAGTGGTAAATGGTTCTTGAGGTCAAACTTGAGCAAAAAGTCTTTACTAACTATACTACTGGTTGGAAAGGTACAACTCAGGAGTTGGAAGTATACAGTTAATGTGTATGGGATACTAAGTTTAATCCATGACATGTCCAAACAAAACAAACAAAAGAGCATTATCAAACTAAAACTACAAACAACAAAATTTTTCAGAGTGCATAAGTAAATTCATCCCCTAGAAAAAGGAGTTCTAGGGATTGAACCCAAGGCCTTGCATATGCTAGGCAAAACTCTACCACTGAGCCACATCCACAGACCTTAGTATTTTGAGGCAGCTCAAACTGGCTTGAATCTCCTTGGCAGCCTGGGACCACCTTGAACTCTTAATCACAGAATTAATTCGTGAAGCACAGGGAAAATATTTACATATCAATCTTGTAAGAATTCAAATATTAGGTTTATTGCACTAAAAGCAAAATTAAGTCATTCTCATGTGCTCAAGCTAGGGAGCCAAAGACTAAACTTAGGTACAGAAACACATTAAATACTTTAAAAAATTGGGAGAGTGGAGGAATATATACATTAAGGAGGCAATGAAAATATTACACACATCTACATACACTCATATATCTAACAAATAAGAGTTAAGTCAAAGGATAGTATATTCAAACCATGCCGAGATACCAACCTGCTGATTACAAAGACAAACTGTACCTGACAATGGAGTGATGTGGTGGTCAGCACCTTAACCAAGTGAGCATATCACCAAGAGTGGGAAAACTTGGAATTATATGGCTCCTGATGTGATATAATAAAAAGCAGACAGTATCACTTATCTAGTACTCTTGACAAAATGTTTAACAAGAATCTAATTATGAGGAAACAGTAATCTAGAATGTGGGACATTTTGAGACATCTGGTGTATACTTTTTAAAAAAGTGAATGTAATAAATTTTAGATTATGTAGGTAAGCTAAAAACAGATTTAAAAAGAAGAAGAAGAAGAGAGCATGCCCTGCATCCAAAACTCAACACAGGAAAAATCAAATGCAATGAGCAGTCTCTAGTTGGCTCCCAAAATTCCCAAAGGTTGCTGGAAGCAGTGACATCATGGCACCACTGTTAACTTTCAAGCTATACTTTGTTACATAGGTAATATACTTTATTCTTAGGTGATGCACAATGAAATATCTAGAAGTGAGTGTCATGATGGCTATAATCTGTTGTCAGCATGCGTGAGTGAGGGCAATGCCGTGTGACACCTTAACAACCAGGGAATAAAAGTGAAACATTTAGTGTTTACTTATTTTACTAGCCTTTACATTTTCTATGGGCTTTAAAATTTGTAAAAGAAAATATAGGGGAGAAACTATAAAGCTTTTCCTTATCATTCAAGTACAGGAAGATATATATCATTATTGTCTCCCCTACAAAAGAATGTGAAGTGACAAAACCTAACAACCAGGGAGTTTTTCTACTTCTGATAAAACTACATTTTTTGAGAATGAGAGATAATAAGAAAATTGAAGTTTGCTTTCTAATGTAATACCAGAAAAATCAATAATATTCACGATACAATATATGTGATCCTTATCTTCTAGTCCTCTAGTCTGTTCTTTTTATAGCTCAAAGATTTTAATGATAACAAACACATCCCGGGAAATCATCTGTTAGAGTAGGCATCACAGTACAGAAGCACACACAGAAACTTCAGAATTTACAGATTCTTCAGTGGGGACCAAAGACTCACAGAGGCCCCGTGGACGGTGGTGAGAAACCCACTGGCCTCAACTGATAAGACTGCACATGGATGCTATTTTGGAAGGAGAGGACCTAGACATTTCATCAGAGCTCAATGAGCCTCATGAAAAAAATATTCAAGAGCCATCATGCCTGAGAAAACAGGATTCAAGATACAATTTCACAAGGTGACTATGATAATATCAGACACCAAGGTAATTCTTTAGAAGTTTCTTTTCGCTGACTATAAAAACTTTAGAATAGTATCTCTATATCTATCTATTCAAAAACTTTTAATTTAAAAAATCCTCAGGGTCACTTAAAATAAGTCCAGGCTCGTGTGCTATGCAGGGTGGACGACTGGAAGCCACACTCACCGATGGGGCAGTGTTCGCGGACTCTTACAGGCTGCAGCTGTAGGTCTGTCAGGCTTGGAAGACTTGCATTTCACTTCCTCTTCATACAGTCCTGCCAAGGCCAACTACACATAAGGACGGATGGGCTTGTTATCCAGTTAGCAATGGAAACAGACTTCTAGACAGCTGAGTAACAGACATTAACTTGAAACTGAGTATTAATAATTCCCTATGAAAAAATGAAGACTGCTGCCTCAAAAGATGTTGTCTTCCCAAAACAACCTAACTCATGAGGTCTCATAGTATTCAATTAATCAAACTGCCTTATGACAGAAAAAAACTGTTACCATAATTTTTTAATTAACTATTCAATAATTTCAAAAACTGAGTTTGGCAACACACTATTTTCGCATTTGGACCTGTGTAACTTTCTTCCAGGTTTTAAAGAATTTTTGAAGACAGTTCAAGCTACTGCCAATTTCTCTAAATCGGTCTCACAATATAATTTCACTTAGCCGTTTTCAAAACCCAAGTACATAAAACAAGTTCAAAAGTATTGCTTAAAAGTCTATCAGACATAAATTTCATCAAGTTCTGGGAAAAGAGCTAAAAAAAATAAGACGATGAATTAAATATAGGTTTTAACCATTTACAAAGCAATACTGCAAAATCACACATTGCAGATATATAGCTGGGTGCCTTTTAAATAAAGTAAAAATATATTTGTCCTTGAAATAGAATTTAAAATATTAGTCTAATATTACAGGTTCTCCCCCCCTCTACTTTAGCTATTTTGGGCAATAATTTAAAATTTTTGAGCCATGCAATAGTGGCACATGCCTTTAATCCCAGTGCTTGGGAGCCAGAAGCAGGAGGATGTCTGTGATTCTGAGGCCATCCTGGTCTACACAGTGAGTTCCAGGACAGCCAGGGCTGTGTAGTGAGAGATCCTGTCTCAAAAAACAAGCAAAACAAAACGAATTTCCTTACTGCTCCTAGTGGCTATTCAAGCGGGCTCCCACCCTCTTTACAATCTAACAAACCCTCTCCCCCACCAAGCAACTATCTCTGCATATTCTTTCCTCAGAAGGAAAAGGAGAATAAGCAACTGAGGCACAAATTAGCCAGTCTTTCTCCAGGGCTGGGAACTGGACACAGGCAGAGTTACATGTTAGACAAGCACTCTTAACACCCAGCTACATCCCCTGGCTAACCAAGACTAGATAGACCTTTAAATAAACACATTGAAAATACACACTCAAGACACCTAGAAACCATTTTTTTTCTTTCCTAATTGTTTTTATTCCCCCTTCATCCTATCTCTCACAGATGCATCAACTTGTGAATTTCTAAAAAGGCAATTTCCCTAGAAATGCAAATCAATGGCTCTGACCTCTTAAGAACTGAATTAAAATTTTTTACATAGATCCTATTTTTTGGAAATCAAAATATAATTCCATCATCTCCCCCTTCTTCTCCCTCCCATGTTCATACACCCCTTGTTCTCTCTCAGCTGGATCCAAACTTTAACTTAGGCACGCACTTTGTAAGTTTGGTGGACTGCTGACCATCATTGAGTTTAGTTTTTACATCTTTAAATGCCTATCAAAACTCTTGTCAAGATCAGGTCCATCCCATCACTCTTGTCTCTCATCCTTTACTACCCTACTTAACAAAGCTGCAGTCTAGAGAACAGGGCGCCTCAACTGAGAAAATGCCTCCATAAGATGGAGCATTTTCTTAAATAGTGATTGATGGGGGAGGGCCCAGTGCATTGTGGGTGGCGCCATCCCTGGACTGGTGGTCTTGGATTCTATAAGCAAGCAAGCTCGGAAGCCATGAAGAGCAAGCCAGTAAGCAGCACTCCTCCAAGGCTTCAGGTCTCTGCCCTGTTTGAGTTCCTATCCTGACTTCCTTTGATGATGAACAGTGATGTGGAAGCACAAGCCAAATAAAACCCTTTCCCTCCCCAAGTTGCTCTGGTCATGATGTTTCATCACAGCAATAGTAACCTTGACTAAGACAACTAGTTAAGTGGCTTCAGAGTCACCTGTTACCAACCAATGCTCAATTAATACCACTATAACTTTACATTGGTTTGGGCTATTAAGGCTAGTTTACAAGCCTGTTTCAAATCTGTGGTCTTTCACAAAATTTAATACCATACAACACTATCCACCACTACTTATGGATTTGATGTCCTATATATCTCCAAATTCCCCAAACTTCAGCACAAAGTCGTAACAGCAAGTGGTCAGTATGTTTGGTTAAAGAATGAAGACCAGCTATTAAAAATGCTCTGTGAAGGTTTGAGAAATCAGGCTCATTCATTCTTAACTATAACCCCTAACATATGTTTAATTGTTGAATTTTATCAATGATCTCATGAGGAGATAGAAAAATGCCTAAAATGAGTACGTATTGTTAGCGACTGATAAAACAGCATTTAGTGGACAAGTGTTCAGCTGACGAATGTCAGCGTCATAACATTACCGAGTTTTATTTCTGTTACACTGTTTTATGGACTGCCTCTTACAAGTAGGCTCTAACCACAGACTGAATTGTTTTAAGCTCTCTCCTGCAAAAAACGCAGCTTTTTGATAAGAAACAAAGAAAAAGAAACCGTTTTTGATGTGTAAGTCTTCAAATCTGAAAGAGCATCCAGGAGAACAAACCAACATGCATTATTTTTAAGTTACTTTTTAAGCGATGGCCATAGCAACTCTCCAGAAGGCAGGCAGCATCAATCGGGAGCCACCCAGACAGCCCCGCAAAACGATATTCTAAACAGCTGCTTGGCGCACGGCGCGTGGCGAAGGGATCCAGGTCCTGGCGCCCGAGGTTCGGGCACCGGTTTCCACGCCCGCCACCCTGCAAAGCGCCTCCCGGGGAGACCCTGGTTATCATCTCCTCGGGCAGGGTCCGGGCAAGGCGAGGTACAAAGGGGCTCTGACCCGCGTCCGCCACGCCCACGCCTCCCGCCCGCCGCCGCCGCCGCCGCGCTCCGTGCCTGCGCACCTGTAAGTCCCGCGCACTCGGGGGCCGTGGCCTCGAGGACCCCCTCTCCTGCTCCTCCGGCTCCGCGCGACCGCCCTCCGCCATCTTCCGCCCGCTCTCGGGGCCCGCCCCCGACTCGCGACTTCCGGGGCTGGTTGCTTAGCGACCGGGGAGGGGCGGACCCACTTGGTGTCCACCCCTTCGGGAGGGGATGGAGCCGTGTGGCCATTACGTTAGTCCTTGCTACTCTCGCGGTGGGGTTCCGTTCCTCCAGACCCTCCAGCCTTTTAGTTTCCGAACATCTGTCTGCAGTCTCTCGGCCACCCGCTGGGAGATACTGTAGTTGTCCTAGAGCGCAGCATTGACTTCCAGGTTCATTTAACTCAACAGATGAATGTTGCAACTTTCAAGTCTTGGTCGAATCTCTCATTTTCTCTTACCAAGGACTGGATGGTGCATCCGTCTCTCCGCCTGGATCTGAATTGAGGATGAGGGACACAGTAAAGCAATGAAAATGGAGACTCTTAAGCCATCTCCCCACCCCCACCCCCACCTCCCTACCCCGCCGGGATTGATTTAACTCTTTCCTGTCTTATCCCAGGCACTTAAATCTCCCAAGGATTGCCAAGGTTGAAAAAAGAAGTCCAGGCCTTTATGAAACTTGAAAGGTAGCGAGGGAAAGATGTAACAGATAACAGAATAAATCTGTAAATAAGGTTTGCAAAGAGTATTATGCGAGGCCTGTATGTGAATGGAGAATACTGGGTTGGTACCTGCTGTGCGCCCCATGCTGGGTGCCAGCCTGTGGTGTGCTGCTTTGACATGTTCTTGAAAAAACAGCAAATTTTACCAGCTAGAGAAGTTGAAACTGAGGGTTCTATAACAGACCTTTTAGAATTAAACCCACGTCTTAGCCCCCTTTTGCATAATTGCCACTAGTATGTAAATACAGCCACATAGGCCTTCAGGTTCCTATGAAGACATTAATATGAAAAAAAATTTTTTTTCAATAAAATTTGTGCCATTTCTTCCTGTGAATATATTTAACTCGGTTTCCTTCTCAGGCCCAGCTGAGACTCGGAGGGTAAAGGAAGACCTTCCTCCCCCAGTTTAATGTATCCACATATATTGCCAAGTGTGCACGAAGTGCTGGAGCAAGGCAAACGATTGTAAATTCACCTTTTAGTAACTAGCAATATGGACTGCCAAACCTTTCATTGCTGTCCTGATATTCTTAATACCCGTTTTGCCTTAAACGTCCCCATTACTTCTTTGACAAGAAATTGTTGTACCCAGAGTCCCCCAAAGACCACCAAGAGACTGAATCCCATGCAAAAGCAAAGAGTCTTTGTATTGTGAGTTAACTCGGGACTCTCCGTCTGTCTGACACAGCAGCAGAGCAGGAGAGTCCCTGAGTAGCAGTGGGGCAGAGTTTTTAGAGCAAAGGGGGCTTGGGGTCCATGGACTACATAGGAACAGACTCAGGACTGGTTTATGGGAGTGGCAATCATGTTAGTAACTTTTAATTGGCTAGGGTTATTTGGGGCTTACAGTTACCATTTTGGAGCAGGCTTGGACAAGTCCCAGGCTTTGTCCTTGAGCTGCCACGGAGGCTGGCTGGCCTAGTACGTACTGACTGTGGGGGCTGACTCAGTGGCCCAGGCTCTGTCCTTGACCCATGCATGTAGCTCTAAGTTGGTGAGGGGTCCCAGACAGTAAACAGCTGGTTGAACCTTGAGTGGTCAGAGTATATGCAGAAAGGGAGGTACTGCAAGGACTATGTCTTTTGTTCATGGCCCTCCCAGAAACTGCTTGTTCAAGTCTTAGGAAACTGAAATTTCAGCCTGACCTCTGAGAGAGTGAGCAGCCTGCTGTGGTGTCTAAGCTTGGTCCTTTCAAAATGACCCAGAGAGCCAATACCTTTTTATGTGGAACCTTGATGAAGTTAATTCCCACAGACCTTCGACCAGGAAGGACCACAAATAAAGAAAGGCACAGATGTGTTCTAAGACACAGATATTGGAAATAAAGCGTGTCAGCAAAATACTATATGACTGTTTAGAAACGGCAAAGCATGATTTTAATCTAGGAGAGACCTAGATTAGAGATATAAGCATAAGTTGGATTATAAAGGAATGTATTTTTAGGATCTATATGAAGGAATCTGTGAATAGAAGTAGAGATCCATAACTAGGACAGAGACTTGATTGTCTTCACAGCACCTTTTCCATTCTTGGTGAGTCAAGAAACACAATAGTAAGATGAATCAGTGGAGATCCTCATCTGTAGTTTTTTGTTGTTGGTGCTTTTGTTTTTTAACTCTTACTCTTTGGGGTCCTGCTACCCAGCTCCCAAATAAATACACAGAGACTTATTCTTATGAATCCCCTGCCTTAGCTTGGTTTATTTCTACCCAACTTTTTTTTTAACTTAAATTATCTTATTTACCTTTTGCCTCTGGGCTTTTACCTTTCTCTTTTTTTTTTTTTTTAAATAAAGATCCCTTCAGTCTTTTTTAATTTATTTGTTCTACCTGCATGTATGCCTGCAGGCCAGAAGAGGGCACCAGATTACAGATGGTTGTGAGCCACCATGTGGTTGCTGGGAATGGAACTCAGGACCTCTGGAAGAGCAGTCAGTGCTCTTAACCTCTGAGCCATCTCTCCAGGCCTTACCTTTCTCTTTTCGATATATCTTTCTTTCCTTCTTACTCTGTGCCCCCTCCAGCTCTTCTTCTTCTCTCTGCCTACCAGTCCCACCTATTTCTCTCTCCTCCCTAGCTATTAGCTGTTCAGCTCTTTATTAGACCAATTAGGTGCTTTAGATAGGCAAAGTAACACAGCTTTACCAAGTTAAACAAATGCACCATAAAAGGATGAGACGCATCTTTATACCATTAAACAAATATTTCATAGCATAAAAGATAAAAGAATATAACATACTTTAACTAATATTCCACAATACTCATCAGGCACAGACAACTCCAACTTAATAACTTAAATAAAATTCATTATGTGTGTAATTTTACTTATGCTGAACATCACCAAGGTCAGGATCAGAAATGGCTTTGTTTCATCTACTGAAAGATTTTTATCTTGTTTCTAAACCATTTGACAGAATAGAGTATGTTTACCCTTGGTAATTATCATGACTCACAGACATCATTTATATCTTCTACAATAGCTGTCTGGATTAGGTATTGTCTTCATATTATAGATGTAAGTGGAAAGCAGAGAAATAAGATGGATTTTTATGTCACTAAGCTAATAAGCACCAGAACTAAGTTTTAAATTCAGGTACAGTATTCTCAAAAGTCCATGCCTTTTTTTTGTTGTTGTTGTTGTTTGTTTTTTTGACACCACCACCACTATAAGGATTCGGTCCTTAATTACGTCATCAGACTGCTACGGCGTCCCAGCCTAAAAAGCGAGTGGGCCCTCTGTGCATCCCTCTCTTTCCTTTCCACCCCTTCCTTCTTCTCTCCCTCTCTCTCTCTCCCCTTCTTCTCTTTCTGCTCTCTCCTTCCATCTGCCTCTCTCTCTCTCTCTCTCTCTCCCCCCCCCCTTTCCTAATAAAGCTCTAAAAAGGTAACCATGGCTGTGATTCTTTCTACCAGTACTCTCCTCTGCAGGCATGGCCACCGTGGGTGGCGGCCAGCCATGAGCAGTGAGCCGTTTAACCAACATTGGTGCCGCTGGACCCCCACACAGCTGCCATCACCACAGTGAGTCTGCCGTTCTCATGGCTGTAGTCTGAGCTATATTCTTTGCAATGGACACCCTGGGGGTTGTCCTTGGGCTGTACTGGCAATGGCAGGCACATTTTCGCTCCTGATGAGGAAGTAATGGTGTCTAGGGTTCAACGGTGGACCAACTGCAGTAAAGCTGAGCCCTCACCTTCCCTTGACGAAGAGGAATGGTGACTTGAGCTGATTCTTGGGACGCCCAAGATTGTTGTCTGATCCCGGTTTGTTATTTTAATTTTTTATTTTCCTCTCAGCTACAGCCATGGGACAAAGGGGCGGATACATTGGCGGATAGGGGCGGGCACCGGTAAACCTGGCTGCTTAACAGAGTCGCGGGAACTTCTGCCAGCGAGCCGGCAAATAAGAGTTACTTTATCTCCAAGCTTTCTGCTAAAGCTCTAAACCCTTCTCCTTCCCCACTTCTGCATCTGCCACATGCAACCTTTTCTGTCTGACTTCCACCGACAGTGGGCAGGCTCAAATGGGCGGGTTTGGGCGGTCTCCATGACTCGCCCTAACTCACCTTAACTCTACCCATTCATTCTCAAACTGCCTTGAGAAACACAGACGGGTCTGGAAGCGGCTAAGATCCATACAAATAAGTTTACAGTAGTCAGGATGGCTCTTAAGCCAAAAATCAGCTTATAGCCTCAGACAAGTCTTCCAAAAGGATCAGTTTATAGTCTGCCTACTGGCAGATCTTCCAAAAGCTGTCCTTAAGCCAATCATCAGGAAAAAAAAAAATCAGGACATGGAGTAAAATCCATCTCTTGTTCCCCAGACCTCCCTGACTAAAACTTATGCATCTGGAGAACAAGGCTCCTGACCCCACAGGCAAAAGAGTCATCTGTGGCATTTAAGGTGTACCGGGAAAGAGATAAAAGCCCAAAAACAAAATTGCCAAATGCTGGCACTCGCTGACTCCCAAAAGCTGTTGTGTCCCTGTTTTAAGTGAGGTAAAGGCCACGAGCTAGCAAATGCTCTGCCAGGCCATCAACAACCTTGTTAAAAGTGCTGCCTAGAAAGTTAACAAGTCAGCTGACTGCCCCAGGCGCCAAGATGCATGGGTACATCAAGCTAAGACCTCCAACAGACCTAGGCTTGGCTACAGACATGGCAGGGAACCCAGAACGCAGCAGGGAAGCAATCCGTTTCTTTCCTTCTGTACACCAGAGCCACTGACTCAGTCCTGGGAGTTTTGGGATGCCACCTCTCCTTTATTGTTGGGTACAGAGGACAGCCTTACCACCTCACCAGATTTAATTGCACTTTCAGAGTTACTTAATGAAAAAAGATTTCCACCTAAAATAAGAGCTCATTGCTTCACTCCAGATCCGATCCACTGCCTGTGTTTCTCACGTACATACAGACAGGGCCCTGATCTTTGCCTTGTCCCTAATTCCAAAAAAAATAAATTGTCATACACAATACACCACAGGATTCTTCCCAGTATCCTGTTCTAACTCACTGTTCAGCTAATGATACAGGACCACCACAGAACCGGAGTCCAGAGATCATCAAGTAAGAAACTGTAACAGCTAAAAGGTATTTACACCCCCAGACCCAAAAGTGTCTGGGCACTATAAAAAGACTTTAATACAAACATCTATTACTGTGAGATGCTTTTAACAATTGATCACCTGTCTCCTGGATGCCAAACTAATAAAAGAAACAGGTGCTTTAAAATAATCTGTCTCTGATAAA